CTGTGTGCAGAGACAGTCCAAGATATGACCCCCGACCTTAGCTGGCATGGAAGCTGGACTCTGCTGTTTTCTTTCCTTGGATAGAACTTCACAGCCAGTGAAGCCAGCCTCGTGGGAATTACTTCACTCCCCTGATCCTTTGCCTTGCACATTCAGGGCTGGCGAACGTCCTTCCGCTGCTTCTGCTGAAGATAGGAACCTTCTGGGCCTCTGGCTCGGCCTGCTGTCATTTCTAGTCCCCACTCTCCATTACCTTGTTCTGCCAGGCCCCGTTAGACTGTGATTTATATTTTTAAAGTCAAGTTCTCGTCATCACTTTTGCATGCATCTGTCTCCCTCAGAATGTCTAGTTAATTTGTATGAAACTAGACAATCCAGGGGAAAGGGAAGGAAGAGGGAGAGCGTGAGAAAGGCAGTTCTGCTTGGACATCTCACTAACAGGTTGTGCTGGGAGATGGTTTGCTTATCCCATTTGGACGTCCAGTATTCTGGTCTCTTTTCTTCAAATATTCAAAAATAATTCACACTGTGGTGAAATGTTTTAACAGAACGCCATTCAAGCGACTTCAAACAGGTGCCGTATTGGCATTTGGCACATTCAGAATATTAAAAACACCTGTCACCATGTTCCAGGTCTAGACATTGTGGGGGCAGGTGGCACGTTTGTGAAGAGGACACTTTCGGGAGTCGGCTCTCTCCTTCCACTTAGTTGGAGGCAGGGTTTCTCTTCTTTTTACTGCAATTGTGTGGTACCCTAGGGTAGCTGGGCCATCCCTAGATCTTTGCCTATTTTGGCTTGCTCGTCCTCCCTCCTTCCCTCCCTACCCCTCCCTCCCTCCCTCCCTCTCTCTCTCTTTCTTCCTTTTTCTTTGTTTTCTTCCTTCCTTCCTTCCTTCCTCCTCCCTCCCTCCCTCCCTCCCTCCCTCCCTCCCTCCCTCCCTCCCTCCCTCCCTCCCTCTCTCTCTCTCTCTCTCTCTCTCTCTCTCTCTCTCCAGGATCTATCTTTGTAGCTCTGGCTGTCCTAGAACTCACTCTGTAGACCAGGCTGGCCTTGAACTCAGAGAGATCTGCTTCTGCCTCGCAAGTGTTGGGATTAAAGGTGTGCGCCACCACCGCCAATGCCCGGCTATTCTGGATATTTCATATCAATGGGATTGTATAATATTTGCCTTTGAGGGCTTCATTTATTAATTTCACATCTTTTGGGGGTTCGTCCATGTTGTAGTAAGTATCAGGTTTTCCTTCTTATCAGTGCATATGATACTATTGAATGTATATAACAGATGAAAACTCCGTTTATCTCTTCAAAAATATGCATTCATCCGATGGTGACTGTTTGGCCACTGTGAATAATGGTGCCATGGAGCTGGCGTACAGCGGCTGCATCCTGCTCACTACTCTTGGGATATACTCGAGTGTGGTGCTGGGCCACATGGCAGTTCTGTGTTTGACTCTGAGAGCTTTCCAAGCTAACTCTCACGGTAGCTGCATCGTTCTCTATCCCTGCTAGCAATGCCCGAGGATCCTGCTTTCTCCACATCTTCTCCGGGACCTGTTATTTCCTGTCTTTTGACATCTTTTGCCATCCTAAAGCATGTGAGCTGCAATCTCATTTTGCTTTTGATTTGTACATCCATAAGTCTAACGACCTTGAGTATCCCTTTATGTGGTTATGTGCAGTTAGTGTATCCTGTTTGGAGAAATGTCTGTTAAATCCTTGGCTCATTTTTTTGAATTAGGTTTTCCTTCCTCTTTCCCTCCCTCCCTCCCTCCCTCCCTCCTTGTTTCATCTTCTTTTCTTCTTCTTTCTGCTTCTGCTATGTTTTTCTGCTGTTGAGTTATAAAATGTCTTTGTGTATTAGATGCCAATCATTGGGTAGATGATTTACAAATACCGTCTCCCATCCTAGCTTTCTGCTCATTCTCTGGACAGTGTTCACATGTTTTCTTTACTAGACTCTTTGTTTATGAAGCCGAAGGGAGACCACTGTAAAGAACTATCAGCAAACATGCACTCACCTTTTCCGAGAGACGGGAATGTTGCTGGTATTTGATGAGGGTGCCAGAGATGAATCAAACTCTGAGTCCCCTTCTGGATTTAGGCTTCCTGTGAGTTTACAGATGTTCCTCCTGGGAAGTCGGTGGGGCAAAGCCATGGGTGAGTCCTTTGAGATTTGTAGCTTCCTGCGTTCTTGGCATCGGACACTGAGTGACATTGGATGTACTTCCCTCTGTGTTGCTTTCCAGAACTTTCCACAACTTTCTTATTCTTGCTTTCTTAGTCTGCTGACTTTCCTCACTACACACAGATCCTCTGCTGTCCCGGCCACTCGGCTGCTGCTCTAACGTCCATTTGCCCTGGACAGAGTTCTCCTGTTCCCTTAAGCCATGCTCGCGAGAGAAAAGCTGTCCACCAGCGCAGCCAGCTCTGGTTCACTTGGACTGTTTTTTCTGGAGTCGGGATTAAGTGTCATAGTTCCATCTTCCCAGCAGTTTCCAGTCAAAAGCTTCTGCTTAGAACTGTCACGGCCAAGTCTCCCTCGATGTCTACCATTGGGACTCAAATCACTGATTACAACCTGAAGCTGTTATTCTGCATTTTCACTGTTTAAATGAAAAAAAAAAATAGTTCTTTACTGTCTTTCAAAAACTTGCATCTAGGACCACAGGGAGAAAGCACCCATGTATGTTTTGCTCACTCTCTCCATCTGGAAAAGAAATCTGTGAAACTTCTAATTAAGCCAGATCTCCCTGTGGATCTGTAGGAACTTGTTTTCAAGGGTGACAGCAGGTGAAATGACATGTGTGTGTGTGTGTGAGTGTGTGTGTGTGTGTGTGTATGTGTGTGTGTGTGTGTGTGTGTGTGTGTGTGTGTGCGTGTATACTTTTTTATTGAGCCTTTGGCTTTACTTTTAATTTTTTATGAGAGTGAGGGTCACTGACAATTTTAAGGATGACATTGCCTCCTGACACGACCTTGCGGGGACACGGAGATGGAAGACAGGCTCTCTAGTCTTTAAGTGATCAGAGGGATGCAAAGAAATAGCTGTTCTTTTGGCACATGGTAACTCTGCTGACTGTAGAATTAGCGTTGGTCGTTCGGTGAGAACCAAAGCCCACATATAGGTGTTAGCCACAGCTCTGCCCACACAGCATGGGATTGCGGCCATCTCAGCTCTAAGAACGTTTGACCTGGATATAGCACAGAGAGAGTCCAACAGTACCGTTTTTTGTTTGCTTTCTTTAATACTTTATTTATTTATTTAACATGCATGGGGGTTTTGCCTGTCTGTATATCTGCACCACGTGTGTGCCTGAATCCCATGGAGGCCAGAGAAGGGCATCAGATCCCCTGGATTTCTTGGAACTGGAGTTACAGACAGTTGTGAGCTGCCATGTGGGTGCTGGGAACCAAACCTAGGTCCTCTGGAAGAGCAGACAGGGCTGTTAGTTACTGAGCCATCTCTTCAGGCTGTATTTTTGTTTTCTTGTCAATGAACAAGAGTTGTTCTTAGATGTAGCTAACCTTTCATCTGAGTGAAATGAAACCATGAACCACTTTACTGTAATAATTTTCTGGTTACTAGAATTTTGAAATGTGTGTAAGAGTGAGTACTCATGTGTGTATGTGTGAGTACTCATGTGTGTATGTGTGAGTACACATGTGTGTATGTGTGAGTACACATGTGTGTATGTGTGAGTACTCATGTGTGTATGTGTGCGCATATGAGTGCTGGGGGTTGAATCGAGAGCCTTGAGCATGCCAGGGAAGCACTGAACCCCTGAGCTCCATTTCTGGAGCCTGCCTGGCTTCGTTTTTATGCAGCCTGATTGACAGGTAGTTTTGCAAACGACAGTATTTGTATTTGGTTGATTAGAGAGCACAGGGCCTTTGAAAGGCAATAGGGGGACACGCATTTCCTGTGTAGGCATCTCAGCTTCGCTGCACCAAACACCACCTCACTGTGAAAGAAGCGTTTCTTTCTGCACTTACAGTGTTTTCTGACCCTCTATCAAGGCATTAGTGTTTGTCCCGGAGCTAAGAACAGTTCAGTGTAAACTTCATAGCTCTCTCCATCATTGCAATAAGAAAGAAACAAGGACTTTAAGGTTTTCGCTAAACTGAACCTTCCCAACCCTGGTCTTAGTAGATCTTATTTCGTGGAACGCTTATAAATATTATTTGCATTGCTTAAAGAGAAGAAACACAACTAAGATTCAGGGTTGAAGTAGGAGCTCACAGGATTCATGACCTCTATTCTGGTTTGTTTCTGTAGATACCACGACTCAAAGAGACCTGGGGGAAGGAAGGGTTGACTTGGCTTACGTGTCCCAGCCCAGTCCAGCAGAGACCGTGGAGAAACAATGCCTACTGACCTGTTTCCTATGGTTTGCTCAGTCTGCTTTCTGATAGGACCCAGGGCCACCTTCCCAGGGATGACACCACCACAGTGGACTGGGCCTTTCTGCATCAATTATTAATAGAAAATGCCCCTGTAGACATGCCCATGGCCAATCTGTTGGAAGCAATTCCTCCATAGATGGTCCTTTTCCCGGGTGACTCTAGCTGGTATCACGGTGACAGTAACCAGCACAGGCTCCAGTCAGTGTACCATGGACTTGTATCAAGCTCTGCAAACTGCAGCTCCCCTCTCTGGCAATCTTTGTGTCCTCCAACCCCACTACTTTCTTAGCGAGAAACCTTTTTGGCTTCATTAGGAACCCCACTCCTCTTTGGGCTGAGGACAGAAGTGTGTTGCTGGAGGGCTTCTCTCCAGGTTCCACCAAGCCCCGCAGTCCCACAATCCACGTATAAAATAATCACTCAGACGCTTAGATTACTTACAAACTGTATGGCCATGGCAGGCTTCTTGCTAACTGTTCTTATATCTTAAATTAACCCATTTCTATAAATCTATACCTAGCCACGTGGCTGGTGGCTTACCGGCGTCTTTACATGTTGCTTGTCCTGGCGGTGGCTGCAGTGTCTCCCTCCTTCTTCCTGTTTCCCCAATTTCCCTCTCTCCTTGTCCCGCCTATACTTCCTCTCTAGTCACTGGCCATCAGTGTTTTATTTATATAGAGCGATATCCACAGCAGAAGTGGATCACCTGTGCTCCACCACAGAGCTAAGCAAAGTTTAGTGAGTGTCCTCAAAGGGCTGTCATCGTTCCTTTTCTGCTGCTGTGATAAGACACCATGACCGAGTCGACTCATGGACGAGTTTGCTTGGAACTTAGTTTCAGAGAGTTAGAGTCCATGACCATCGTGGCGGGGAGCATGGCAGCAGGCAAGCAGGCATGGCACTGGAAGAGTAGATGGGAGCTTACATCTTGATCTGGATCGGTAAGCAAGAGGCAGTGGGGTTTTGAAACTCAAAGCCTGCCCCTGGTGACACACCCCCTCCAACAAGGCCACACCTCCTTGTCTTTCCCAAACAGTTCCAACATTTGGGGCTGAGTATTCAAATACAGGAGCCTGTGGGGGCCATTCTTATTCAAACCACCAGAGGGTGATAGGCTGGACCATAACTAGATTACTGGCTGCACATCCTCCTGTTTCACCTACCCTAGTGCTGGGGTAGGCTGGACGAGCATGCCCGGCAGCACTCAGCAGCAGCCTTCCTAGAACACTGCCCCGGAGCCCCAGGTCGGCAGACCCAGGGACTCCTCTCAGGACTCCTCCAGCTGTCTTCATGGCCACTGCAGTATTACAGGTTGTGTTCTGGGTCCTCAAAGGGGTTTCAGTGGTATAGAAACTAAGAATTGTACTGTATCCCATAAATATCTACAGTTGTCACCTGAAAGTAAGTAAATAAAAAAAAACATTAGGGCATTAAAAACAAGCAAAACAAACAAACAAACAAACAAACAAGACACGTAGGTCAGAGGGATGGAGCTTTTCAGTTACAGTGACGTGTGATTTTACTGCCCTTGACTCCTTACCGGAATTTCAAAGCCTTTTCATCCACTTCGACACTGCCTTCATTCTGGGTGACCTGGCCTCTTGCTTTCCGGGAAATCCAACAAGAATTTGTTTCTCTTCCGAAACCACAGACATTCCCTTAATAACGCCCACTGTCTTAGGTTTTTCTGTGGCTCTTTGTTATTGTCGTGGCACTTAATTTTTATTTTGCACGACTGATCTGCTTCATGATGACTTGCCCTGGGGACTGAGCAGCTTCCAGGTGGCCTTCATGAGAATACACTTAGGGGCTAAGTCACCATCATTTCCTCGGTCTGCCTCCTTCCAAGGCCCAACCCCCTGCCTGTGGTCTTAACCTCATTACTTCCTTCAGCTCAGCAACTCTGGATTTTGTTTGTTGGGGGCTGGTCTTGAACTCGCAGAAAATCCTCCCGCCTCAGCTTTCTGAGTACAGGAGTACAGGCTGGCTTTATGTGTGTGTGTGTGTGTGTGTGTGTGTGTGTGTGTGTGTGTGTGTGTGTGTGTATCTGTGTGTATGTGTGTATATACACATATGTGTGTGTACATACATGCATGCATACATATTGGGGACTGAACCTAAAGGCATGTGCCCTGTCACTGAGGTGCATCCTCATCAATTAGACTCTACTCACTTCTCACCAGTTCTTTTCTTTCTTAATACATACATCTTTAGTTGTCCTCTGTCAACACACACACACACACACACACACACACACACACACACACACACACACACGGGTGGGTGAGCACTTTCTCTGTGACATACCATTCCATTGTTTTTTCTTCCCCTCACTCACACATTTTTAGGTGCTGCCCAAGACTCTTATCCTTTACATTTTCCACTGGTTCCCCATCTGGCTTTTCTAGTCTCATCTTGAACTGACACTACCTCACCCAGAATCACCACAATGTCAACAACACCCCTCTCCCCAAGCACACAGTATTCCTTTGCAGTCTCTTGTGTGGACACAGGCTGGTCATAGTTGTATGTGATGACTGGAGTCATCCGAGGTTGGTACCCAGGTTCAGGATGACCAGGTGGTTGCTGGGCAACAGATGCGGAAGACAATCCAAATGCAGGAAGATGAGAACTCTGAGTCCTTGGGAAAGACACAGGCTTCCGGGGCCTGCTGACATAGCCCTTTGTGATTACACAGAGGACCGTTTCTTTCCATGTCCCTCATCTTCCTTCCATAGTTGCTTACTAGTGAGTTGAGGCAATTGGAGGTGTCTTGGTCTTTTCCTTGTGCATATACAAGTGAGTGAGTCCTGGCTCCTTAGTACTTCCTACAACCTCAGTGACATGTGGCTTAGGCCATTGTATCGTCAGACTGAGTGAATGCTGTCCTGACTTGATAGCTGGGCTCATGGCCAGGTATGATTAGTTGTTTATTATTATTATTAGTAGTATTACTATTATTATTATTATAGTTGTGACAAACTATACATGACATACAATTTACTATTTGCCCATTTTTAAATGCACAGTCCAGTGGTGTTGGATCCATTCACAATGTTGTATAATCACTTCTCTCCATCGCCAGAACCTTTCCGTCATCCCAGCCCATGCTTGCTTGGAGCTCACTCACTGCCCAGTACTACCACATCGCAGCCCCAGTAACGTCTCTTCTCTGTTCTGCTATTGCAAACCCTGTGTACAATATGTGTCCTTCTGTCCATGACTCACTTCACGTGGCTTAAAGCTGTCAAGCTTTCATCCCTGTGGTAGCAGGCTTCAAAACTTTGCTCTTCTTTGATGGACAAATGTGATTCCATTGGGTGGTTTCTGCTTTGGGACTGTCCTGAGTAGCACTTGGACGGACACTTTTGAAGGGTGCCGTGGGACGTGCGGAGAAGGAGCTTCAGGCCTTCAGCACCACTTGACAGTGGTCTGCCTTCTGCTGTGACGGGGGCCGTGGGACTTGTCTTGAGACAGCCTCACCATGTTGCCCTTGCTAGCTTGTAACTCATGATCCCCTTGCTCCAGCCGCAGGGATACTGAAATTAGGTGTGTGTGTGTGTGTGTGTGTGTGTGTGTGTGTGTGTGTGTGTACAGCTGTCTCAGGCAATTGTTTAGTTTTGACATCTGATTGATTACCCAAGCAAGAGATAAGAAACATGGCAGCCATATTACTGCTTCCTACCATTTAAGTATTTCCTGAGCATTGTTAAGTACACAGCAAAGCTCTAAGACTCTGGGTGAGGGATTTTTCGTTATATTTTAAGGTCTAAAGCCAATCTGAAAGCAATGTTTGCAACCTTTGTTCATCAGATGTTGGTAGTGACTATTGCTGCAGGCAGGCATTGTTGTTCGTCGTTGGTTTTTGGATTTTGGAAGGCGCAATCAAGAGTTGGGGTGGTCTAAGATATTGTAGAATGTTGCATGGTGGCCCTGAAAAAAACTCGTGTACACCTGGGACTTTAGAATATGGCTCTATTTGCAAACAGAGTTTTCGTGGGAGTGTTGACCTGGTTAGTGTTGTCAGCTTGACAGAATCAGGAATCACCTTCTGGACATGCCTATGAGGAGGATCTCGATTGAGTTAATTGAGGTAGGAAGACTCACCCTCTATGGGTGGCGCCATTCCCTGGTGGGAATCCTGGATTGTATAAAATAGCAAAGGGAACGCTAACGTTGAATTTGTCCCTCTCCGCCTTTTGACTGAGGACGCCCTGTGACCAGCTGCCTCAGGCCCCTGCTGCAGCTTCCCCGATGTGATGGACGTAACCTAGGATTGTGAGACAGAACAGAACCTTTCTCCCTTAAGTTGCTTTTGCCAGGATGACTCAGCAACTTAAGGACAGGAAATTAACCCGGAAATCAGTACTGAGCAGTGGGGCTGCATTTGCAATGTACCTGACCATGTGGTCCTTGAGCCTTTGGAACTGTTTTGTGGCTGGAATGTGGAAGGATTTGGAACTTTGGGTTAGAAAAGTCACAGAATGCTGGGAGCAGAACTTGACGGGTCGTTCTTATGGGACCCTGGAAGACAAGAATGCTGAGGGAAACATGGGCAGTGGAGGTTCAGCTCATGAAGTCTCAGAGGGGATTAAGGACTCCACCAGGAATGGGAATAGGAACCATTCAGGTGATGCTTGGCCAAGAATGTTGCATCATTTTGCCTGTGTCCTGAGAACCTGGGTGAAGTTGAATTTACACTTCATGAACAAATTTGTTTGGCAGAGGAAATTTCCAGACGAGAGATCGTCCAAGCCCTTGCTGTGAACCAGCTGTAATTGCTAAAGAAGTTCACACCACTGAAGGGAAGCCCCGCCCCTACCCCACTACATCCGGATGACAGGAAATGTGTCCTGAGGGCAAAACTCCATCCATCTATAGGTGCTGTCTTGTGAAGATTCAACTTCATTTAGAGGAGGAAAGCCTAAGGTGGTAAGAATGTGTTCCCCAAGGGTCAGGACACAGAACCTGATGTAGTTCTGGTCCAAGGGAGCTAAGCTCCATCCTGAGCCAGTGGCAGAACTTGGCAGCATTCTCCACGAGCTACTGGTTTTGGATGTGAAAGATGAGGATGAGGCATGGGGTGGGTCCTAGAGATCAGATTAGTCAAGACAGTGTGGCAAGATTTGAGTTCCGATGGAGTCTTTGAGAGGTCTAAATGTACATGAAGCCTAAGTATCATTGGAGACTCCAGGATATTGGAGATGCCAAGACTTACCCAATACAGAGAACCGTGGGCAAGAAATGGAGTCAGCCCAAGAGAGAGGGGATGAATGCAATGGTGTACTGGCTGGATTTGTGTATCAACTTGACCTAAGCTGGAGTCATCAGAGAGGAAGGAGCCTCAGCTGAGGAAATGTCTCCATGAGATCCAGCTGGAAGGCATTTTCTTGGTTAGTGATCAGTGGGGAAGGGCCCAGCTCATGGTGGGTGGTGCCATTCCAGGGCTGGTGGTCCTGGGTTCTATAAGAAAGCAGGCTGAGCAAACTATGAGGAGCAAGCCAGTAAGCAGCTCCCCTCCATGGCCTCTGTCTCAGCTCCTGCCTCCAGGTTCCTGCCCTGACGTCAGTAATAAACAGCAATATGGAAGTGAAGCCAAATAAACCCTTTCCTCCCCAACGTGCTTTTTGGTCATGGTGTTCCATCACAGCAGTAGAAAACCTAAGACACACGGGTAGACTCTCTGGAAGTGTGGGGCTGCCCAAGCCCTTTGGAGCCCAGTTAATTGTGTTGTAAGCTCTGGAATAGCAAGGTTTCATTTTCCCGGTCTAGTTTCGGTCATGTTTTCATCTCACCTTTGTTGTGCCCCCACTTGTCTCTTATGGAATGGAATGGTTTATTTTCTGCCATTGTACGGAAGAAATGTGTCGCGTGTTTTTTTTCTTTAGACGCGCTCGCAATTGACTTTGAGGTGTTGTCGTGGTTAAAGACTATGGTTAAAGACAGAAAAGGTGGAATACCGTGTTTTAAAAATGACGTGTTGAGGTGTGAAGTTGATAAGGGGTGGAGTTGTGATGGTCAGTGTTCCTTGTCCACTTGACAGAATCTAGAATCACCCAGAAGAAGAGCTTCTGGTCATGGCTTTGGGGAATTGTCCTGATCGCTTTAGTTGGGGTGCCCTCTGTATTGGCACCATTTCCATCATAGTGGGGGTCCTGGGCTGTGTAAAATCTAGGAAGGGAGCTGAAGAAGCGTCCACCCCTGTTTCCTGGTTGTGACTGTGATGTGACTGGCTGCATCAGGCTCCGGGTGTGGTGACTTCCCTGCCATGACGGGCTATCCTTTGACCTGTGAGCTAAAATACACCCTCTTCCATTCAGTCGATTTTGTCCGAGCATTTTGTTGTTACCTAGCAACAGTTAAGAAGCTAGGGTCAGGACTTAGTTGAGGATCTCGGAGATAATCTTAGACTTCGGTTGAGCCTTAAATCCAAAGGCTAGTGTTTTAGGATACAAGAAGAGGAGCCGGAGAGGCACAGAGGACTGTGTGAAGATACGCAGGGGTTGGAGTGTATACTAACTACTCCAAGCCCAAAGCAGCCAGGACAAACTGAAGGGGGCGAGGAAGGGCTCTCCCAAGAGCTTTGGAGGCGATGTGGGAGGAGATGCGGCCCTGTTACACATCTCACCTCAGACGTGTGAGGAATACATTTCTGTGCCGTTGATCCACATGGCTGTGGTCCTCTGACAGCCCAGGAGCCTGAGCAGGTGCCCAGCAGACACCAATAGGTAGATGGTAAAGTAACGAGTGACTTTGGATTTGGGCGAAGTGGTCAGGGCTAGAGACAGACTTGAAGCCATTGGTGCAGAGGCGGTGTTTAAAACAAGGCAGAGTGGATACACTCATGGAGAGAGCGTCTAGAGACAAAACTCCCAGGGAGCTGGTCCTGGGCTCTCCTTTGTGCTCATGCAGAGCAAGTGAGGGGGGTGGGTCTTAGGAAGACCGGCCTGTGAGTTCCTTCTGGCGGCCCCGAACCATTCTCAGAATATCTAAGGATGTGTGTATACTGAGTGAAGAGCCTTCTTTTAAGATGCTCCGATTTAGTCCTTCCTATGGAAAAGCATCTGAGGTTAATATTAACAAAATGTACTTGAATGAAAGTGAAGATTCTGGAACTGGAGCAGCATCTGAAACTGGAGTTGGTTCTGAATGCCCCCCCTCCAGCAGAGGAGCAGGTTGCGTTTATAGCCAGAGGAAATGAAGCACCGTACACTAGGGCAGTCGCATTGGCCGCAGCGGGCACTTGCCTTTCTTGGTCATGATTTGGCAAATGTCAGCCTCTTACTGGCTGGAGGCTCCATTGCAATGATTGGGTATCAGTTGCTTGGTTACAAGGATATGGTCTAGATTTAAGTTACAAATTTCGTGTGTGTGAAGATACACACACACACACACACACACACACACACACACACGTGGATATGGTTTTTTATGTATGGAGACTGCCTTGGGTCAAATTTTATCAGAGTACAAAATAGATGTAGGCCAGACTTCTCAGTGCTAACCTTAGAAGACTTTGCCCAGGGATCGTTTCATATTAGGGGAGGAAAGGACAAGGAGGCCCCTTCATCTTGTGGAGTATGGCAGTAGAAAGGGGGCAGAATACTGTGGAGGAAAGATGAAGATGTCTCTGTTGCTTCTCGCTGTTCCCAAAGAGTAACCATATCCCATCAAAGGAGGAATTACAATTAGAGATGGGAGGGAGGGGAGTGGAGAAGGGGGTGTGGGCAAGGGGAACTGAGCGACTCTCCGTCACAGCAGATTGGAACTGGAAAGGGTTAATTAATGAGATAATGTGTACTGAGCATCCTAACTTAGGCTACAGCACTGTGGATTTGCAAGGTATATGATTATCACTAATAGCTTTTTTTTCCTAATCCTGCATTTTTCTTTCTACAGATAGGGACATTGAGAGTCAGATGCTTAGGAGCCAATAGTGTTTTCCTTAGGTAGAAAAGGGAATGGGAAATCAATGCAAAGCCCCCTCTCCACCCAGGCTGGGTT